TGGTTGAATGTTGTTTTCAGCATCTACTCCGGACGAGATAATGCTATTGATCTTCCTGAGGTACCATGGCATGATTTCTGCAAGTTCACCATCAAAAGAAAATCAAATGAAATTTCAAGCCCTAGGTTTTGGGCCCTGACAATCGAAAAAGTCCTCAAGGATCTCCATGTCCCTATTTCGGTGAACACCATTCCTCCTGAGGTATGTATTTCTTTCAAACTTGTTAAGGCCTATCAAATTCCGGACCAATCCTCCTTTCGTCCAGTCAGACGACTTTCGTACCACATGTTGGCTATAATTCCTTCCGAATCTCCTTATTTGAAACATCACACAGAGACTTCGGTTGTGTTCGGCCCCACACAACCTCCCCAGTCTCTGTTGAGCCTATTTCGGAAGATGCTTCTCCTGAAATGTCCGGACCCAAACTCAAAAAATCGGTTAAGAGAAAATCTTCTACCAAAAAACCCAAGGCCAAAAAGAAAACCAAAGGCAGTGCCTCCTCTCCACAGGAGGGCACCCATGACATTCCGGCTGATTCTGGTCGTCCGCACACCCCTCCTGTCCACTCATCCGAGGTACCCCTCGATGTTTCAAAACTACATGCACACACTCACGGGGACTCTCCACATAATCCACCCTCACCCTCTCAAAAGGGTGATGCAGGTGTTGAACAAAGTTCCTTGCAGCCCCCTGGAACACACCCACATGTCAAGTTTGATATTCCCATCATTTCATCCACACGCACACACTCCGGAACCACCGTTCCGGATCCCAAGCATCCAGAAGAAGGAATTGTCCCTCCCTATTCTGATGCCACAACTGAAGACTCATTCTGGAGTGAATCTCACGTCTGGAATGCTCACTGATCCGAATGATGCTATTTTGTCTTTTGTCATTTATTATTGATGTAACCTCTCATAGGACTTAACTTTTTGTGTCCATTAACAATCAGAATGTCAGAAATAGTTCTTTTGTCCAGTCATATGTAAGTTACTTGGTTAAGTCGATGTAATACTCACTCATATATATAGAAGCATTCAACTTAAGTAAATGACGGATCTTTTCTCTCACTTTGGCATTTTATCTTTATCACATCAAAACATTCTACTTGTTCATTTATTAACTTCTCTTTGATCATTATCAAGTTTTTCATGCTTAATGTCTTGATCATCTGTTGAATTAATTATCTAAGACTTGACTGGTCTTTCCAATCTTGACTTGTACATCTATATGTAAGCAGACATTGATCTCAAGCATTCACTCAAGGTTTGAGTTTTCAAACCTTGTCCCTGCGCAAAGATATTGTCTTATCATTTAGTCAATTAACCTATACTGAAAAAGGTGTATTTGAAGAATAACTAATACCCATATTTTTTCAAAATCTGAATTTTTTAAATTAATTTTAATACATATTTTAGTAATTACCGATTTTATTCTATCAGAATGGAAAAAAGTCAACCATAAATTAACGTGCTTAAAGACTTATACAACATATTATCAATAATAACATTTTTTAAAGAATACATATTTTATTCTTTTAAGAATCACGAGTTACATTAATTCGTAAAAATAAGACTATAAACAATTATTACATTCATTCTGATGAAAATCTAAGCTATAATGGTTTAATAATTACATTTAATCTTAATGATTAAAACTAAATATAGTTACAAAAAACAATAAAATCTAACAAAAACACTAATCTATTCTAAAAGAATGTTAATGTTAAGAAACACATTTTACATTGTGGAAAAATATATCCTGGTAGAATACACTCTCGTTATCAATGTTTTCTTCTTTTTCCACTTCAAAATCTAAATCCACAAAGAAAAAATAATCAACTTTCAAATATTAAAAAATTCATTACATTCTAAGAGAATAAAAACTATAAATTCTGACAGAACGTAATAGAAACTATAAAATCTGACAAATTATAATAGAGAATAAAAACTATAAATTTTGACAGAATGTTGTAGACATTAAAGAATTATAATTTATTCTAATAGAATGTAATCTTAAAACTGCAATGAGAATAGCCGCCATAAAGTTGAATAACATTATGTGAGAATGCTTTTATATGTCAAATAATAAAACAAACCTTCGTAATGTTGGAGGAATTAGGGTTTATGTTGAGATTTGGATACACCTTGGATCGTGTGAATATTTTTCCAACTGATATTTCTACCCTATGTCTGGGCTATCTGCAGAGGAAGAAGAGGAGGTTCAACTTGAAGGCTCGCCAAGGGGACACACTCCTCCTCGATCTCCAACTCCTCAGGTACAAGATGATGTTCCTAATCCTCCTCCTTCTCCAAAAGAAACCACATTACCCATCTCAGTTGCTCTAATTCCACCTCTTGTCACTTCTCAACCAATTACTACTACTCCACTACCACCTCTAGTCTTTTCTCAAACAACAACAACAACCACCACCACAACAACTGGACCTTCGGTGAGTGTCAACGTATCTGATACGGGGGCACATACCGTTGGTATTTCAATCCTTGTTGCCATTAAACCTCCCTCACCATCTTCTACAATGGATTTTGAGCCTATTCCGGGAGGTGTAAACTTTAAATTTGACTCCACTTATTACAGTCCTTATCGACTTCCCAGTGAAGATGATGATGAAGCTCCAGTGACAAGGCAACATTTACAGAGTCTTCATGAAAAGCTTGACAAATTGCTTGCTTCCCCGTCCACTTACTCGAACATGTCATGACATCTATCATGGAGTCGATGTGTCGCAAAAGGAAAGGATCCTTAGAGCAATCCTTATTAAGATTCGTGTAGTCCACACATACTTTCCATTTTCCATTGTTCTTTTGTACTACCACCACGTTGACTATCCATCTGGGGAACTTGACTTCTTTAACCATTTATGTCCTAAGAAGTTTTTCAACCGCTGACTTTCTTCTCTCTTGATGTATAGGTATGAAAGAAGGATCAATGTTAAGTTTATGAGTTTCTATACCTTTCATATCCTCATGCTTCCATGTGAATGTCTTGCTTCTAGATTTAAGGAACTTTATTAGATATTGTTCAATTTTTTCAGACATTGAGGTCCCTATGAGAATTTTGGCTTTAGGATGCTCAAGGTTCAGGGGCACTTCCTTTGCGTCTTGCTCTCTTGTTTCTAGTAGATTTGGCCACTATTGGGGGACATAATACTGGTAATGAATAAACATGTTCTTACATCCAAATAATGAATTGGCCACTATTAGGGGACATAATGCTGAGAACAGACTGCATAGAAGTTGGTTTGGTAACCAAGATAAAGTTCTCATCACAATCAAGACCAAGTCTCTAACTATTCCCGATGGCAAATAAACATGCCTTTTAGCTGTCAAGGGAACCATATGATTTGTATTTTTTTTAATAAAATAATCGCATGGAATGTACGATATGGTCCCGTATAGGCCTAAAAAAAAGTACCTAATTTATGTTAGAAATAAAAGAATCAAATTCATTTTTGCATGGCAATCGTCCATATTTGATCATGGAGAGCATAAATGAGAGACTTAGGGTTTGCATATTTAGATGAGACATAAATATTTGGACTATTAATAGGTTTTGACATTCCATGTTGAAATCGAGTGACCATCGGGTGCTTAAGATAGTGAGTCATTAGTTCCTTGGTTAAAATAGTAGAAGCTAAGGAGGATGGATTATCACTATGATACGTAAAGCCGATAAGTGGGGGTTTGGTTTTAGGAGAAGCGAGAGGAGTAGGGGCTTAGGTATATGAGTATATGAGGTGTCATGAAAATTATAAAATAAGAGTGAGGCACGATCGATCTGATCAAAGAATGTATATGAGGGGAACTGATTTAGAGTCATGGAGCATAAGGGAAACATAGATTCTTCAAAAGTGGCATAATAGTGAATGGTGATGTTTGAGATGGGAGAAAAATACAATGCAACTCTTAAAGTTTTGAAGCGTAGCCGACAAAGACACATAGTGTAAAACTGGGAGCAGGTTTGTGGGAGGATTGGTGTGAGTGTAACTTAAGAACTCGACTACCTGAAGGTCTGAATTCTTTGGTGAAAGGAATTTGGTTTTTGATTGAGGTGAAAGGTGGAACGTGTAAGAGGAGTGTGAATGTATGTGAGGTTTTGAGATAATATTCACCGAAGGTGGAATATGTAATTGGAAGGAAAAATTTGATGGATTTTAGGATAGAGATCACATGGGCTCTGATACAATTTTATGGTCAATGTTTTCCCATAATTGGATACAATGGATTCATTAAAATAAATTATGTTACAAAGTGTATATAGGCTTAATCTAATGGACTACTATATTGGGTCATACAAGATACACATATAAATATGATGTAATGTACACTAATAACATCTTGATCTTGAACATACAAAAAATTTCATCTTGATGGCCAAAATAACATAATTGTTTCTATACTAGATTGGATAACGGAGAGAGGATAATACACTTTTTATGGGCTTACATATCAGGATTGTATCTTTCTTTAATAAACCAAGTGTATATAGTAGATTCTACCTATCCCTTTGGGCATAACGAAACTAATTAACAAAGTGAAAAATAAATACATAAGGAGAAATATTAGAAAAAAAAAGAGAGGAACATAGTTAAAATAAACTTTGTCTCTAAGCCTTTATTTGATAAACATAGTTAAAATCTAAGTTGATATTTAAGCTTTTATTATTTATTAAAAACGAAAGATTGAGATAAAAACATCAAAGGTTTACTCCTACATAGTTAAAATAAACTTTGTCTCTAAGCCTTTATTTGATAAACATAGTTAAAATCTAAGTTGATATTTAAGCTTTTATTATTTATTAAAAACGAAAGATTGAGATAAAAACATCAAAGGTTTACTCCTACATAAAATAAAGAAGTTTGAAAGCTAATCAAATACCAACACATGGTAAAAATAAAGACTTAAACTAAAACAAGGAATGTTCCGAAATATACGTTTTATTCTAAATTACTCTGACATGAGCATGACAATCAATAATAACTAATTCAACATCGGGTGAATGAAGGAGATTGACATGACAAAAAAGAAGGAAGCCATTGCAATTCCACTTGAGGTACGGATACGACTTGAATGAGATAGTTTATCGCCTCGTACCGTATACACTTTCCTAGATTCCTCATCTTTCACTTTGATGGTTGAAGAGCCTAAGAAAAAACCAAAACTAGTTAATCATAAATTTTATATTCTTTCAATATTATAGAGATTAGATAAGTGTTACTGAGTGAAAGTTCAGTTCATATGCCAATTTCCAGATAATTAGGTATAATGGTTATAACTTTTAGTATATGTCCACGAGGGATTATAAAGGTTCATGCTACAAAAAGAAGCGATACAAAATAGGCACGATTTCATAGTTGAAAGAAATAAAATAAATTGATATGTGAGCTATACTTACACTTATGCTCAATCCATCCAATGGTCTTCTTTTCCACATCGTACGTTACCAACTTATCAGTCAATACAACATCTACATATAAAATTTATGTTTCATCACCTTTTATGTAATAAATATTTATAAATTATTATAAATTTTTTTGGTACCAACTTAAAAAAAAATAATTAGTAAAAATATTGGAAGAAATAAAAAAAATGAATTGTGGCTGACCTCCTAATAAAGTTATATCTTTCCCATCCTTCGTTTGCAAATTGCTGTCTTGAAAACCGATACACCATTCTTGATCCTGATACAATGTTTTTGTAAATAAAGTAATAAAATGCCTTAAGAATGCAACCAACAAACATATGGAAGGGTAAAGTGGATTGAATACCTCAACTTCAAATAGGTATTGATGGGGATAAACTTTCAGAGATAATGAATTTTTGAAGAGAAAAGTGACAACCGGAAAACCCTTCTCAACACTATATAATCATAGAAAAAAAAATACAAAGATACAAATAAAGTTTCATGTTTGAAAATAGTAATCATATAGAGATAAGTTTCAACTATATTTATTGTTAGATCTTCAACGAACACTTACTTTCCAGAGTATTTGTAGCATATAAACTGCTGATTTACAATGTGACTCTTTAAATTTGGTTGTGCAGCATTTATCTAGGTAGATACATCAACCAAGAATTTTATAGTAAGAAAACTACAAGTGTAATTTAACGAAGGGAATTTCACATGACTAACACAAATATTAATGAAAATATGGAAAAGATCACATATACCTTCTTGATCAATTGCTTGTAAGCCAAATCGGGTAAATAAGCTAAGGTTGTACCGCTGTCAATAATTGTTCCTTGATTGGTTCCAACATCAAAAAAATCTTTTGGAAGTTGTAAAACATCATCACCTACCAGAATTTCCTTTAATTCAACATTATAATGCTCCCTGTGACAAAAATAAATCATAAGCAACATATATTTAAAGTTAGGACATGATAGCTAATGTTTGTCATGTACACTACCAAATTTGTTAGAGTTAGCTACCACAAAGGCTCTGATGTTAATTTCAATTACGTTCAATTATTTAATTCTTTTAGTAGCTTATTTCTTTTTTCAATTCATACATATACATGTATTTGGTATCGTGTTCATAATCAAATTTAGAAGATAGGAAATTCATAATTTCTCTCTTTCTCTCCCTCTTTCTCTCTCTCTCTCTCTCTCTATATATATATATATATATATATATATATATATATATATATATATATATATATATATATATATATATATATATATATATATATATATATATATATATGTAACGCCCGCGTTTCCAGGCTAGACATTTTCATTGATGTAATAGTCTAGGTTAACCCTTGTAACTCTTTTTGAAGTATTAATGATGAAATATTTGAGTATTATGTGAATTATGTGTTTATTTTCTTAATTATTATAATTTAATGAATTAATAACAAAATAAGCATCAAAATTAAAGTATGAGATAAGCCCGATATCTTTTGCATAAAGATGTAGTGGTCGAAACAAGGATTCCAAAGATATAAAGAATGTTGAAATTCGAGTTATAACAAAAAAGTTATGACCTGTCGAAATTTCACGACAGAATCAGCAACGCTGAGTGACGTAAAAAGTGAAATTTATGTTAGAGCAATATTTAGCCTTAGCTATCTAAATGAAAGTCGTAGAGTTCGTTAAACCGAGAGCATGCATAAAAAGAACGCCAAAATTTGACTTCGTATGAGGAAGTTATGATTTTATGAAGTTTCGACTTAGCGGTATGCAGCCCGAATACTTGATTTGAGATCGAGCAGTTTTTAGCCGAAGCAATCTAAATGAGAATCGACGATCTCATTGTTAGTAACGAAACGATGAAAAGTTAGGCGAGAACGGACATCGGACGAAGAAGTTATGAATTTATAACCAAGTTTTTCTGTCCGAGCCTACTAAAAATAAATAATAAAAAATAAAGTCAAAATTATCTGACAGATTCTAAACGAAAGTTGTAGAGCGTAGTCTCACCTACGCGTGGATATAAAGAACGTCGAAAATGGAGCTCGTATGCGAAAGTTACGCCAAGTTTGACGAGTCAAATTACGTCGAGCGTAATTTGAGTACACCCAGCGTACTTAGAAGGGTGCAAGTTGCCTTACCAATACTCGAGTGCCACCAATTGACGCATGCAGTGACGTCAAAGTACGCCCAGCGTAACCAAGTTACACCCAGCGTACTGAGTACGCCCAGCGTAATCCCAGACCCCCAACCTATAAATAGAAACCAAGATCAGCCATTTTCTCTTGTTCAAACTCTTTCTTCTCTCTAGTTATTTCCTCGATTTGCGTGCCAATCATATCCCGAAGCCCCGGTATCATTCCCGAGCCCCGAAGCAAGATCCAAAGTCCTGAGGATCCCGAAGAGTGTTATTCCCGAGCAAAAGCCCTGCTCGCGAGGAGCCTGGTTTTTGTGAAAATCTTCCAGATCTACGGAGAAACACTACTTCTGCAAGCCGTAGTGCTGTCCGATCATCTTTTGATCAAGTGAGTGTGTGGTTACTTTCTTCCAACACAATATTATGAAGTATTTTATATAAAATACGTGCTATGTTTGTATATTTTGTTGTTATATGTGTGAATGTATATCCACTCTCTTCTATCTCATAGATCTGATTTATCCTCTATGAAATACATGTTATGTGTGTGTGCCTCATATGTTATGTGGAATATGTATTGATTAAAGCATGCTATATAGGTTTTTAAAATATGTATAAAAATGTATATTTTTATCTACTAATATGTTGGGTAGAACATGGGTAGATAGTTGGTGTGTAATAAACAGATGAGAGGCCTCGTTGTTGTTTCGATTTAGTCATCTAGCGGAGTTTAGATGGCGACCGCGGACCTTTCTAGATAGTCTTGTGGAACACTAGCAGGCTCGCCACCTGTAGGTGTTAATGGACTTGGGTGTTCATTCGCTGTACTCCATCCCCCCCATGGTTGCCTTATTTGACATATATTGCCGGGAAACCCCCGAAAGCATGTGTTGTCGCCCCGATGAAATATTCTTAGACTAGGTCCCTTGTGTTAGTTATTTTAGGGACATAAAGTGAGAATAATGGGAATGGGTAATTGGGTTATTGTTGGTTGATGAAAATTAATTTAATTATTTATTGTGGGTTGAAAACCCTATACGCTCACCAGGCTCCCAAGCCTGACCCACTCAGTTTCTTTCTATTACAGGTAGTGGCGCGAGGGCATAAGATGGATAATCATCAAGTTGTTTTGTTTACAAGTCTGTATATGTATATATTTGTTGAATGACTTGTAATGTTATCGTTTATGCTTTATGGTCTGTATCGGAACATGACATCCCGAGTTTTGATTATATAATGAAAATACATTTATGAAATGCCTTGGTAAATATTATTTTATCATGTTTTGTTTTTGGGAACAAATTCCGCATCTCTTTTAAAATCAAAATGTTTTACTCTGAAAATGTTTAAAAAACATAAATGAAACCGGTCTTTTCTGGCCGAAATTTTGGGGATGTCACAATATATATATATATATATATATATATATATATATATATATATATATATATATATATATATATATCAAGTTCTTGATTTCAACATGGTATTAGCTTTTTTTTATTTTTTTATTTTTTTTATTTTTTTTTATCTATTCTTACACATCATTTTAATTTTTTTTTTCATTTTCGATTCAATCTCTTCTTTAATTGATTTAATTTTACTTCAATCCGTTCATATTTCATCTCGATTTGATTTAATGTTTAAATATTATATCAATTTGATTTAATCGAATATTGTTGATCTTTCAAACACTTTCTACCTTAGATAATCTAATAATCCTAGCATAGTTCTCATTTATAATGTTTTCACTGGAATTTGATTCTCAACTTGGAAACAATTAATGATTATAGCTCTATTTGTGAAAAACAAGCTTGCATTCATTGATGTAACCATTTCTAAGCCACCAATCAATTCATTGTTGTATGGAATTTGGTACATATTCAATTCTATGGTAATTAGTTGGTTATACAATTCTCTTCGTCATCGCATTGATGAAAGTGTTCTCTTCCTTCAAACTGCTCATAACATCTAGAAAAGCTTAATCGTCGATATGAACAATCTAATGGAGATCTCATTTATTAGATCCGAAAACAATTATACTCTTTTTTGAAAGGATCTAATGAATTCTCCACTTACTACATCAAATTGAAGAATAATTTTGCATTATCCAAATTACATTGTCAATCATGATGTAATTGATATGAATGTTTTAAATGATCAAACATTTAAATTACTCAAAGAAGTCATTACTATTCAGTATTACTAAGAAATCATGTCATTATAAATCATAATACCATAGCTTAATTGGTATTCCATCGAAATTCAAATCTACTAAATCAAAGAAAGAACCTAAGTATGATGTTCAGATTGTAACCATTGAGTCATCATCAAACATCTCCCAAGAACAATATCAAAATCATCTTCAACTAATCAATCACACCAAATTTCAGTCGTAGTTATTTTCTCATATATATGCTTACTCTTCCATCCTTGAAGGTCCACTGCACTCTGATGTTACTTCCTATTTTTATACTTTGTTGCTAATGTAAGTATTCTGCATTTCTTCAACCACACTTATCCTTTATCACTACACTAAAGAGTTTGACCATATGTGTTCTAACCAATGTCCTTTCCAGTCTATGAATATATTCATAAACAATCAATTGGGCTTCATAATGGTCATAACTTGTTCATTTTACATTGTGATGATGTTCAAATACATGATACATTCATCTTGCATGATGTTTTATATGTTTGATATTTCAAGTACAATCTTCTTTTTATCACCAAACTCAAATCTAAGTTATAACCATTTGTCTTGTTCACCTTTGAGAAATACCTCATGTAGGAAACATCATTGAAACATAGTTTAACACTTGGTATCCTTGGCAAAAGAAGAAATCGTTATAAAGATCTTTAAACAATGTCTTTCAAATAGTTTTTCTATGTTTACTTCCTTTCCATCATCTCATATACTTATTTCTAGTTCAATTATTATTTTCCCTTGTGATCTAGCTAAACAATCATGTTTTTCGTTTTTATATAATAATTCTATCTCCAAAGCCCATTTGATCTTGTCCACATCGGTATTTGGAGGCCACACAAACATATTATTCATGATGAATATTTTAGGGAAATCTCCAATAAAGTCCTAAAATTTTGGCCCGGTTTACGTTTTAATCCTAAACTAATTTTTGTTTACGAAAAAGTCCTAAAAACCGGCAAAAGTATGCATTTTGACCCCTTTTGACCGGTTGGAACCAGCAACAAATTAATTTGAGACTATTTCATAAACTAACCTAAAATATTGGGACTATTTCACAAAATGACCTAAAAAATTGGGATTTTTTCTGCAAAAAAAATATTAGGACTTTTATACAAACAAAAACCTTATTATTATTATTATTATTATTATTATTATTATTATTATTATTATTATTATTATTATTATTATTATTATTATAAACAAGTATACTAAAATTTTAAATTATTTATTATTAATATTTTTAATAATACATATAAATACACTTAAATAAAAATATATTAAAGAAATTATTCAAAGGTGAAGGTGGTGGTGATGGTAATGCTTTAAGCATGGAAATCACTGCTTGTATGTCCTCACCTTGTATATGATCATTTCACATTTCTTATTGTTGTTTTCAAATCAAAATATTAACACTTAACAATTTAAAAGAAGTTGCCTATTTGTAAAATTATGTATAAATAGTTTAAGATAAAATGATTTCTCACTTTGTATATAAAATTTCTTAAGGTAGAATGATTTCTTTTCAAATCCAACAGATCCACAATAAATATTTACATTGGTGGCCCATATCAAAATTCGAAAATATTAATTAAAATATCTTATTTAATAGAAAGTAATATGATTTATTTTGCTTTATCACACTATATTTGCTATGTTTCCAAAAAAACCACAAGGATAAAGTAATGAAAAAGAGCAACACACATGTTGGTAATTCAAAAATACTTACACACAAGATATACACGCATATCACATGCTCACTATTTGTAAACAATTTGAAAAATCAGTAGCTTCTTTTAAATTGTTATATGTTAATATTCTGAATTAAAAACAATAATAACAAATGTGAAATGACCATATACAAAGTTAGAATATACAAACAAACATTCATGATTACAAAGCTTAAAGCATTACCATCCGCAAAACCTTCACCTTTATAAAATGTCTTTAATATTTTTTAATTTAAATGTATTTATATGTATTATTAATAATATTAATAATAACAAATTTAAAAAATAGTATACTTATTTATATTTTTAATATAATAATAATAAGGTTTTTGTTTGCAGAAAAACCCTAATATTTTTTGTTTTTGTAGAAAAGTCCCAATATTTTGGGTCAATTTATGAAATAGTCATAAATTAACTTGTTACCGGTTCCAACCAGTCAAAAAGGGTCAAAATGCAAACTTTTGCCGGTTTTTGGGACTTTTTCGTAAACAAAAATTAGTTTAGGACTAGAACATAAACCGGGCTAAAATTTTAGGACTTTATTGGAGATTTCCCAATATTTTATAACAATCATTTATGACTTTAAAAAACACACATGGATTCATATTTTGAATGATAACAATTATGAATTTCTATTTATTGAATCGTTCACTTCACTCGTAAAAACCCAGTTTCAAGTAACCATCAAATGCGTACGAACTGATAATGCTAACGAGCTTAATTAAAGTATTGATAGAGTTACTTTTATACAAAATAATGGTATACTTTACTAAAGATCAACATCTTACACCTCTCAACAAAATTCCCTTGTTGAACTCAAACATAAGCACATTTTGGAGGTTGCTAGAGCCATATATTTGCAATGGTTTATTGGTGAAGCTTGTTAGGGAGAATATATTAGAGCTTTTGTTATCCCTTTCAAAGATTCTTGCAAACCCTCTCTATTTGAGGCTTTATAAATAAACAAAAAAAAAAGAAAAAAAAAATTCGGTTCACTTAAAGCATTTGGTATTATTTGCTTTGTCTGTTCTGTCCTAGTAGGAAGTGAAACGTTCATGCTTATATCTCCTCCTTTCATTTTTATTAGCTACCCATTGGTCAAAAATTCTTATCCTGTCCTAAATCTAGTTAAAATAAACTTCTTATCTCACAAGTAATCAAATTATTGGATAATATTGATATTTCATGTAATCAATCTAATATGATTGTTAATCCTCCTGCTGATCCCAAACTTTTCCATAAGAAGATTTATGATAAAGTACAAGACTTCTTTATCAACCAACTTATTTACAAAACTATGTATGCAACCTTATTGTCTCATCTAATGATAGCCACTTGTGTATTCACGCCATAGAAAATTTGTTTATTCGTCCATAATATTATAATTCTATTGACAATACATTTTATTCTATTTCATGTAGAAGCTAACCAATATGAGTTGTGCTTTTATCATAAGATAAAGGCATCTTTGAAAGGGAATCTACTATGCAAACTGACCTGAATGCCTTGAATGTCAATGGTACATGAGATATCATCAAACTTCCTAAATGAAAGAAAACATATGCATGCAGATCAGTTTATAAAATAAAGTCGCATGCAGATGGTTCTGTTGTGGATTATAAAGCTCGTCTCATTGCTAATGGATTTACACAAAGAGAAAGTATAGACAACCATGACACATTTTTATTAGTGGAAAATTCACAACTGATCATAGCATTGTTGCTATTGTTGTTAACTCAAGTGTGATACATATCAGTTTGAGGTTAATAATGTGTTCGTACATGGTGACTTGCGTGAGGAGGTTTACATGCAAATACCACCGGGTCATAAGCCTAATCTTTATCTCTTTTTATCGACTTCGAACGGTGTGTAGGCCAAACTTTATGCATTCCTTCACTTTCATTTTTCTTTTCTTTGGCCAAATGGCTATTCTCTTTCTCTTAAAAGACAACACATTCAACAATCATTGTAGCCATTTATGTGGATGATATTTTTGTCACTAGAAATGACCATGATGAAATCAAAAGTCTTAAAACCTTTTTGAATAACCAATTTATAATCAAAGATTAGGTTTACCACATTTCTTTCTTTGCATTGAGTTTGACAAAATTAAACAAGGCTAGTTATTCATACAAACAAGTTCATTAAGGAGTTGCTCTTAACCCATAATATGACTGATTCCTCATCGGTTACAACTCATCTTACTTCTCAAGTTAAACTTCTTCAAAGTATGGATGATCGTATCCTAGATGCTACCATTCAAAATAAACTATTAGCAAACTCAACTTTTTATTCCACACTCTACTTGATTTTTTCTTGTAAAACCAGTATTCGAATTGGTTCAACAAGACTCCATCTCAAGTTTTCTATAAAGATGCATTACATGTTTTTCAATATCATAAAAGATTAACATATCAAGCTCTTTATTACAATGACTAACCTCACTTCAAGCTAATATTAGGCCTCCTACCCATTACATGAAGATCTATTAGTGGCCTCTATATAATCGTTGGAGCCACACCCATCTTTTGGAAGCCAAAAACAAAGTTACAATCTCCTTGTTGAGGCTGAATATCGATCTGTGAGACGAGTGTGTTTCAGACACCAGTCATATTCCCTTAAAGTGTGATAATATGGCAAAAATATACATCCTATCTAAGCCTCTCTTTCATGAAAGGCCAAACAAATAGAAGTATATAGAGCTTGATTGTCATTTTGTGTGAAAAGAAGTTCAAATTGGTTTTATTTGTTTATCACATGTTGCAATGATAGTTAACGAGGGATGTTAGCCAAGCTAAGACATCAACTATTTGTCATGTGCACTACCAAGGTTGTTGGAGTTATTTACCACCAAGGGAAAGTTCACTAATTCCAATTAATTATCTTCCCATAGGTAATTCTATTAGTAGCTTATTTCTTTTTGTTCTACATATATTTATAAGGTAGCTTGTTCAAAACGAATACAGAAGATAGAAAATTCAAAACACCTCTCTCTCTCTCTCTCTATATATATATATATATATATATATATATATATATATATATATATAAAGAAATTAAAGGGAAAGCTAGTATAGTAAAGGCCTTACAAGAATTTGAATGAAAATTTGTTGTATCTTAAAAGGAAAACTTACGTGTGACTCATTGATGTTGTCTTGACTTTCGGATATATCACTTCTCCAATGGTAAATATGCCGCCTCCTTTAGAGCCATCCAGGCAATGTGAAAAAATCTTTTTAACCTTTTTGGCAGATGCAAGCTGTGAAAGCATAGAAGAATCTGCTTGCCCAAACCCAAGCATTCCATCTAGTGGTTGTTCTGATGAACCCAACTCTCCAGATTGTTGAGATCCATACCTATCATGTATAATGGAACAAATGGAAATCGGTAAGATCATATGCTAATAAACATAAGCTATGCAATTTTAATCTTCAAACTTCGTAGAAACACACTACATATGGGAAGTGTAGACTTGCCCGAATGCTATACTCCCATTCATAGATGTTGTTTGAAGGTCTCCTGAAACTCGATCAAGATTTACAATATCTCTCACAAAATATCCTGTCGCTGAGCTTCCATCACCGTAATTAACAGAATAAGAACAACGGGTTCCGACCTTACAGTTACTAGTGGCACCTTTCAGTATGGAACTGCAAATTCCTTGATCACAACTAACAATTTTTGCAGTTGTGGAAGCCTTTGGATCATAAAATGGACGTGGTGCCTGGGAATAGTAATGGTACAAGTTGTTACTTTAGTAAGAAAGAAAACAATGATCAAAAGAATGCACTGAATGTAAATTAACTAACTAAACTCATGCTTCAAAGTACAGGGGAATTAAAAGTTTATAAAAGCTCCAAGTAAGAAAAAGAACATACTCCATGGCCACTTGTCCTAGGACATTCTTGACATCCAACACCATTTACCCATAGAAGGTCACTCCCTGTATCAACCTGCACCATATAGTCCTTTCCTGGAGTCCCTATCCGTATCTTAGAAAAATAAAGGCTACATAAACACACAAAGAAACAATATAAACTTTCATGGCATGAATGCTAAAAAAACACTAAAAAATCACAAAAAAAAAAAAAAAAAACATTAAAAATCACTAAAAAAACCCTAAAAATCACAAAAATACACACACACACACATATATATATATATATATATATATATATATATATATATATATATACTTAGAGATCACAAAACTTTGTTTTTGACTTTATATTCTAAAAAATCGTAGCTTTTTTATTCGTTTGCTGAAAAAAATTAAAAAATCGATTTTTTATTTTTTATATTTTTTTTGTTTTTTTTTTCAAAAAACAATTCAACAAATTTATAGAAAAAGGTACGGTTTTAATGAATATAAAGTCAAAAAAAATTGTGATCTCTAAATATTTTATTTATGCATTGTTATAAATTTTAGGGTTTTTTATTTTTCATAGAGCCTATATATATATATATATATATATATATATATATATATATATATATATATATATATATATATATATAGGGTTACGTTTATGTCAGACGATCTAATTTTGTGAGACCGTAAGACGCAATCATAGCCATTCATTTGGTAGATAAAACAAAAAATATTTTTAAAATGCAAAATAATTGAAAATTTTCGAAAAAAAATTTCAAATATTATTTTTGGAATTTATATTTTCCAAAAAAAAATATATATATAGCAAAAAAATAAAATAAAATAAAATACATTTTTTTACATATTCTAGTAGAATAATAGAATATTCTACATATATGAGAATTCTAGTAAAATATTCTAACATTTTAAAAATCACATTAGAATATTTACATGTAATATTCTATTAGAATATTTCACATATTTTTTTTCGAAATAAACGGTATTTTTTATTTTAATTTTTTTTAGGTAGTTAAAGTTCTGAAAATAATTATTAGAAAAAGAATTTTTGGATTTTTCATTTTATTTTGCATTTTAAAATTATTTTTAAATTTGATCTCACGGTTTCATAAAATTAGCATGGTCTCAAATGAACCTGAACCTAATCTCAGATGAGAAGGACGGAGGACATTTTCGCCCTTATACAAAGGGACTCTCTTCTTTGGATTGATAGTAGGCTGTTAAAAATGGTGATTGATGGGAGTGTTTGATTTTTTTCTTCTAGACTAACTATCAAACCAATTTAATTGTTGGTTTTGTGCCTCCCAACTCTTTGGTGGGTGTGCCTTTTATTGATATATATATATATATATATATATATATATATATATATATATATATATATATATATATATATATATATATATATATATATATATATATATATATATATATATATATATATATATATATATATATATATATATATATATATATATATATATATATATATATGGCATTCCTTAATTTACAAGAGAAGAACATATTTTATTTTTCTTAATCACAAATCCAGAAAATAGGACCAGAAATTCCAAAAGGATCATAAACACAGTCATCTTCCATATGTGAGTATGCAGGAACTGGATCTAGCCATATTTGTCATGGAAACAATGACTACAGGAACAACACTGAGCAATCAACAAACAATCTTGAATACATAATATATTAATAGCGAGAGAACTAACGCTGCTGAGGTAGGGTTACTATCGCCACCTATGGGGAGGCGGACGGCTGAGAGAATCCTCCGATGACGTTGGGAATCATGAGCTTTGAACTCAGTTAAAGGCTTCTTGTTGCCAGCAAATTTATGCTGAACCTGGAAGACGACATTGGCCGATCCCAGCAAAGACAGTTGAGGAAGAACAAACCCAATAACCAAAACAATAAATTCTCCTTTATTCAGTTCCATTTTCTTCGAATGGAAATGTATATTTGGTTCAAATGAGTTTCTTGAGGGTTAAATAAATGAACAAGTGCATATTGCCATGTTTTATAAATGATATTAATGACTTGGAGCGAAGAAGAATGTGAGGACAAGAAAGTTAACCCACCTCGGCTTAGCCGCTAATAAAGAATCAAAGCCAAATTAGAGGCAGTTCTGTCAACAAACAAATAAATTATTATCTTTGTGCGTGTTCACATTGCTTGATACCGACCGATTCCTCATCCAACTATTTTATATTTTCGCCGGGGGTAATTCTATTAGTACGAATAGATTTCCAACCGTACGACCAAGATATTTAAAGAAAATCACTTTAATGTAAAAATTGATTATTTACGTCAAAACAAAAAATTGGGATTTTAAGGGTATAATTCGAATTTTCAAATCTTGCCCTTCGACTTTATTAGGCTGAACGGTGGCACTACACTCCACATATAGGACATTTTCATCATTTTTATCTTTTTCAATTAATGTTATGGTGTGGTGTTTATGTATTACCCACACTAGAAAGGCAGTGAAAAAGATTAAATTTGAACGGTAAAGGAAGAGAAAGAAAGCGGTGGGTTTCCACCGCCGACATTATACCGCAGATAAAACAACGATTGAGGGTCGATGTTCACCGTTGATAAAGGCTGCCACATAGGATTACCGGCAATGATAACACTACCACACCACATAGGCTTAAGCTTAGATCATATATAAAGGTTCGATAATCAGATTTTTGAGCTGCTGCTTAACAGTTATGATAGATTGCTTAAAAATATTTTGGAACATAGTTTTCATTTGTAATTGTATTGTAAGGAAAAGATTTTTCCGTATTTTATAAATAAATAAAAATTGTATTTTATCTTATCTTATATCTCCTTGCAATGATATTTGTGAAAATTGATGTTTGTATGTTTCTATTGTTAGCAATTTTGAAAATGGATTTGATTCTTTTATTTATGGTAGTGTCAAAATTTACCAAATAAAGAAAGATTCTCAATGTCCAAGTTTCAATTGGATAGAAACTTGGAATCATGCAACTTGTATTGTATGATGAGTGAGAACCTTCGTCTTAGGGAAATTAAGACTAATTCATTGTTCACATGTATTTATGAGTGAAGTGAAGGATTAGGGGATCGGGTACACTTGGTTGTGTGCTGGTTAGATCCACCACAAAGAAGGATAAGACTATTCGTTATGATTTACTAAAAGTTTGGTAAACATGGTTATACTTACAAGATTAAGTGTAATTTTGAATCATTGGAAAAGTTTCAATGTGTGGCAGAACGAATAAGAAGAATCAAATTAGGCAGAAAGATAAAAGTTTCTCCAATATGAAAGGAAGCAAGAGTACTTGAGTATCGTGTTTTATGATCATCTTAGTGATTGTGAAACCATATCACAATTGATCATCTAAGGACATCTTAGTGTCTTTATATGGCTAAGAAGAGAAATCGTGAATTATTGAAATGGTTAAATCAAAAAGTGAATCATACTTCTTTCCAAAATCGAGTCTTAGAGTCGTACTCCAAGATCAAGCCTTGAGTGACATAATCTTAAGAAAGGTTTATAACACTTATCAAATGTAGAGTAAAATGTTTCTTACTCTTGTACGTTTGAAATTCGTAAGTTGTGATGTTTTTTATGAGTTTTGAGCAAAACATTAATCCTATGGTGTGCATGCAAACCCTAAAGCTTTGGATCTAGTTTGTCTAATAAATATGCAATAATCATCTAAAGCTCATAAACCCTAGCTCTAGCATACAATAATCGATATTATCATAATAAAAGGGTTTAAATAGTACCTTTCAATGGTTACAAGAGTTCTTTGATCTTTAAGAAGCTTAGTGTCACAAGTGTCACACCTCTAATGACTCACAAACACCAAGAGCAAGAGAATGATGTAGAGGAAAGAGGATGAGAGGCACAAAAATGTCCAAGAACCCTTAGGGATTGCTTCCACACGTTTTTGGGGCCTTAGGGGTTCTTTATATAGTTAGACTATTAGGGTTATCAAACAAGGAAACCTTAATTTAACTGCTTAAGCTCCAAGCAGCCCATTGACTCCCTCCTTAGAAGCCTTGGACAAATTCTAATGGGTTTCCCCATAGATTTCGTCCACTCCAACTTCTATGGAGTCCATTAGCCCAATATTAACTATCACACAATTGACAATTCTAGTCCCCCTTATTTAATTAATGTCTTTTAGCCACATAATTAATTTCTTAATTAATTCTTGTCTAATATTAATTAAACTATATGGTTTCTCTTTTAATATATTATTCATATAATATATTAATAAACCATAATAACCTCTCTCTTCATAAATCATCCTATCAAGTTGCTTTGGTGAAGGCAACCCAAAATGACCATGCAAAACCGGGTCAACTACTTACCAAATATCGTTACGGGCTTAGACACTAATCCAATAGTCTCCTACCTGGATAAGTCTAGTAACTATAGTGCAAGTACAATCCGATTAGCAATCGTAGCTCTCAAAGACGTTTAACTCTGATCTTATCACTAACCTATCCTTTAGATAAGGGATAATATATTCCTCCATTCTAGATATCATATAAACATGAGACATGGATTATAATCATTCTCTCAGTCTATGTGTTGTTTCTCGATTTCCGATATATGACGACTGATAACAGACTACAGTTGAACACATCAACTTAGTCCCAGATTGGCCAAGCGCTTAGGGTGTCATCACTAAATCATCGACGAGCCCAAAAATATCTCTTTTATCCCACTTTAGGTAAAAGGAACGAATAAACTCTGACTCAAATGCTTGTTTGTACCTACTCATCAAATCACACACGACAATATGTTTTATAACACCAAGTTACTGTTGCATTTACATATTATCAATGTGCAACAGACTTGTAGAGTACAATTCACACGTCTCGGTTTCAAGAATATAAGATATTACTGTATCACCAATCACTCGTGATAAAATCCATGAAGTGATCCAAGTGAGCGTGGTTTTAATCCAATACTCTAATCTTATAAGAACACTCATGAACTCTGCAACAAACTTGTGCTATGTCTAAACACTTTAGACAATTTACAGACAGATTCATGACAACCTTTTTTCATAGCTACTTCCAATGTATGATCAACTGTGGATGGTTTGAATAATCTTATTATTCGGGAAGTGAAAACATGCAAAGCGAAACACAAGAATAATACCTAATCCTATATGGCCTCAAACTTTTAAGTATAAATAAGACATCTTTATTTAATCACCATATTGATTACTCATTATTCATTGTATAATGTTTCGGGTAATCAACTTATTACTTGAATTATAACAACATTTGTCCTATGCTCTAAGCATGCACACTATGTTTACCTATGGTCCCTATTATGTGAAATAGATCAATTGAATACATTTCCAATGATACTCATTTCATAATTCCTAATCCTAATCACTAGTGTAAGAATACCAAATTCTTGCCACTATTAGAATATTTTAGATTCTAATATTTTATGCAATGACCCTTTGTAATGTCACAGTACCAAAATCACAAAGACTTTGCCAATGAAATTACAAAGTACTCTATTGTAGATTTTTACAAGACAATTCCATAGACATGAAGTCTCACATTCAAAGTACATTCTTTTGAACTTCCTTCTTGCATAAAAGTTTCTAATATGAACATAGATTCTTGATATCCAACTCCCAATATGGAAACATTTCCATATTTTCCATACGACAACTCATTGTAAATAGAGTCTTATCTATTCATAATAATGTCAATATGGTCCATCTATTACTATACTTACAACTATCCATAAACGACTAATCCTTGGTGAACCTTAGACTGTCCTTGACAGTTGTTTAATTAATTTAGTCAAATCCGGTTCTAGTCCTTTTTCCCTCTTAATGCCCTTGTCATTTGGAAAATTTTTAACCGGTCGAATATTACAACAAATGCAATTGATCCTATACACGAAGCGTATGGGAAACGATCCATAATGAAAAACGTGATACTTTACCAGTTTCTTGCTATAGTGTTTCCATATATAGAATTCCCTTATGTTGAATCTTTTCAACATAACATCCATATATGTCCTTTGACCAAATTCGATTAAAATTTCTCGATCCAAGCTTTTAGATTTTGAAACGAAGTATAATATTCTCTCCCTTAATTATAGAAAAACAAATTTTTAACCCCTACAACTTTGCAAAGTGAAACCTTTTGTTTTCTATAATTATTAAATCATAAAAGGTGACCCTCTTAAACTTAGTCTACTGCAACCTCCCAAGATCCGCAGTCAACTCTGATCAGCAACTCATCCGAAGTCATCATCATCCGAAGTTCACTATCTAGTTTTCTTAGTTTAACTCCTTATCTGCTTTTCTTAGAATACTCTTTTTTGTCCAACATGCCTTTCATGGCTACGGTTAGATAGTTGAACAAATGTAATTCTCGAGTCTCTATAAATAGAGCTCAATCCTCCTTATTTAATACATCTGATAACACTATGCATCTTGAATCTCATATCTTGTGTTATTACTCTTATCTCCTTCTTACTCTCAAAGTTCACCTGAATATAATCGAACATTACCTCTCTTTGGAGAAAGTCAGTCTTGACTTAATCGCTAAGTTTGATCTCACTTACTAACATGGTTTGAATGCATTCCTTGTTAAGAATCAACTTATGTGTATGCTTGATATAATACCTGCTGTCATTTACATTTCCTTATATTTCCGCACCTAACTCTCTACTTATCTAACTCTAACTTATTATTATTGTTGAGCTTTTAGATCCTTTGAGATAAACTATTCTGCAACTATACTTGTTCTTACATTTTTTCAAATGTGTCTCACGTTTTTTCTCTCAACATTAATTAATATTGCTAACTTGAAACACTTAAAATAATAATCATGCTCCCACTAACATGATGATTATATCCATACCAACATAACATTTATGCTCCTACTAGCTTTGACACGTATTCAGAAAACAGTTGGACTTATAGAAAGCAATACTTATTGACTTCCAAAGTTCATATTTCTAATACGATTTGCTTCGATAAGCCTTTATCTAAGCTTCTCAAACTCATACACCTTTCCTTAGATAACTCACATGTATGTCTAAACA